ATGGTTTTTGTATTTCATCATTAAGACATCATCAGTATGGTTTCTAAATCAGTGTCTAGTTAGTTTGGTCAATGTGTATCAGTCTGCAAAGCCTGTCCAGAATTTATGTACTTGAAAAAAATGAAGACCTCAAGTGTAATGACTACATTTGAGAACTGATACGCTAAGCCTCCCTGAGAGTAACCAGCTCATCTCTCTTTGTGACCTAAGTTACTGGTTTCCTTTTTAACCACGACCAAATTTGAACTAGAGAATCACACTCACTTAAAGATACCATTCACAGTAGGAACTCACATTTAGCAGCAATGCAATAAGATAAGACCATTATACTCATTTCTTAGAAAAAGCAGCACAATGACTTAAAGAGAGACATAGAGTTTTAGCACCTAGACTGTTTTTACCATAGAAGAAAAAAATGTTCAGTGTAAGATCTCAAAGTTCATTGTGTCCAAACGTTGGTTTTAAAGGTGACAAGAACAGCTTGAGAGATTAGATGATTTTCAAAAAAATACACAGCTGGACTCCTGAACTAAACTCTTTCCACTTTTGGCTCCCTACCTCATGGTAATAGTTGTTCACATTCTTAATCTTCTTGTAGCCCTTGAAACTTTATATTCTCATTCTATGGAATGATGGGTAAATTTAAAAGTGAAATTATATTTCCTAAGAAATAAGTGCTATTTAGCTTTCTATAAAATGTCTTCCCTCTACTATGAGCAATAGGTATTTAATTAACTTCTGCCTCTGCAGCAGCCAAAGTCATCCTTTCACAATGAAAGTAATAATGTGCCTTTCTGTTTAAAACTCTGAAGTACCTCCCATTCAACTACAAGTAAAAGCCAAGTTCTTCCAATAGTCTATAAATCCTGCACTCTATGCTCACTTTATTCTACCCACATTGTCTAATTTGGTGTTCTCCAATACTCCAAGTATCTTTCTTCCTGAGAACCTCTATGCTAGCTGCCCAGAACTCTTTTGTGCTCAATAAGCAGAATGATTAACTCCTTCACTTCCATCATCTTCGCTCAAATGTGATTTTATTAATAATACCTATCCTGACAATTCTATTTAAAACCACTACACTCATGCCTCTGTACTTCCAGTGTCTTTTACATTAATTTACTACTTTTACTATAGGATTTATCACCTTCTAATGAATATGCTATATTAATTACCTAAGTATTACTTCTTGACTGTCTTCTTCCACCAGAATGTAAGCTCTGTGAAGGCAAGAAGGAATCTAGGTGTACCTTTTCACTATTATCTCCTAACAACTGAAACAGTGCCTGACCACCAGCAAATGTTTGCTGAATGAATAAATTCATTCAATCAATTAATTACATCTGGCAATTTAACCAATTTAACCTTTGTCTACCAATAATTGCTGTATCTGAAGGATAGCATCTAAGCATCAGTTAAATCTTTACCAAAATATGCTAGATCTTCCAATAGATTCCATTAAGGAGACCAATGTACCAAATCAATAATGCATTTTTAGTCTCTAAAATTCTCCTTTGATGGTAAAGGTAACAAGAAAAGTTACTGCTTAACAATTAAAATATTATCAGTTACTCTGTTTCAAAGAAATGGCCAAACTGCATTAAAAACAATCCAATCCTGAATGTATTTACAAAGAATACTATTTGTTTAGCCTCAATTAAAATGCCAGGTTTCTTGGTTAGAATCCTTAACGTTCACTGGCATAGTTATCTGAGAAGTTGTGACAAAATGAGAATCTAGAAATGTGTATTTTTATAAACAGTCATGACAAAGTACCTGAAGCATACTGCCTTCTTCCATGTCAGTATCACATGTATCTTACAATTGTTTCCCCCCCTCCAACAATCATGATGAATTTGTTTTGACATATCATCATTCTATTACCAACTCTTTTTTTTGTAAACAAAGACACAGGTGGGAAAAGGATGGCTGAGAGTAACACTGCAGAGAGCCACTGAGGATGGTCAAGATTGTACATCTCAGGGCCTCCCCTGGTGGCACAGCGGTTGAGTGCTGGGCTGCGAGGCTGCCCGCAGCCTCTGCAGCGCCGGTTCATTCCCCAGCCGCTGGCGAGGGTACCACAAAAAAAAAAAAAAAAAAAAAGACTGGACATCTCAGGAGTTTCACGCACATAGCATATGGACCACAGTGTAAAAGAACCAACACCATTAGCCCTGCCTCCCATGGAGAGTTGTGTAACGATCACTCCCAGATGTGCTGAAAACTAACTGACTTAAATTGGAAATGAAATTAATGCTCTTTCCTCTTAGAAAAAGCAATTCAAAAATTACTAAGCAATAAGAGGCAAAGTGATTTACACTTAAATATCCTCAAAATATTTACCAGTGACTAAAAAATAAGTTGTTAAAGACACAACTATCTTAAAGTGACTCTACAGAACAGGTCACAATTCCCCAACTCTGAGTCCTTGTTTAGTTGGCAGTGGGTCATCTGGGAAAGTGTAGAAAATTAGATACCCTACAATGATCACATAGCACCCTCAAGTGGAAGTACATTAGACTGACAGTGTTTTTCTTGAAAAGATCTGCTGGTCTGTGATATGAAAAATAAAGAGGAGATAGAATTCCTTCAAACAAAGATATTGAATGAATTAAGATATACTGTATCTTATCAGAAGGGCTTGTAGTTTGAACTATTTCTTTAACAATGAGGATGTATTTTTGGCTGATGTAGCCATATTTTCTAATTAGTATTTCACAGCCTTACTTAACTGTGCGTAACTGAATAAAACCTTGAATAGAACAAAGCTAACCACCTTATATGCTAATTAGTAGTATTCTGCAGTCTAAGTCTCTTGCACCATGTGTTATGAAAAAAAACAGTGGTCCCATTATAGGAAAAAAGTTCAAGGCTACCTTCATATGTTAATATACTAATACCTTTAAAATAAAATAACCTCCATACATATATATGTACAGACTAATTATGAAGTATGTTTTCAGCTGACCCCCTAAACTGCATGGCAGTAAGATAACATGACTTCTAAAGTTAATTTTTGAATAAATTATTAACCTTGGGCCTTCCCAGTGGTGCAGCGGTTGAGCACTGGGTTGCGAAGCTGCCCGCGGCCTCTGCGGCGCCGGTTCGATCCCCGGCTGCTCCCGGCCACTGGAGGAGGGTCCCGCATGGCGTGCAGACCTCTCCTGCTGCCCGCTGCTCCCCTCAGCAGTGTACTTCGGTCCTTCTGCCTGCTCTGCTCCCTGCTCTGGCTCTGGTGAATTCTCTCACCCTCCCGTGCTTCTGACTGTTCCCAGTGCTTGTATAAATAAATAAATAAATAAATCTAATAAAAAAAAAACTTTAAAAAAAATTATTAACCTCACCATATGTAAGAGTGTCTTCATTTTTAAAATGGCAGAGTAGAAAATTCAGAGGCCACTGTAAGTGGTTTCTTAGCTTAACAATCAAGAGTCTTTTGGTTCCAAATCATGAATTTACTCAAGCTGACTTACATAACAGAAGGAATTTTTAGAGGGGAAAAAAAAAGAGAAAAAGATACTGAAAATTAAAGATGGGAATATTAACTATCCCTCAAATCATATTTGTGGAACCAAGCATAAGTATTCTTAGCCATTGCTTTGTCATTTTGTGTGTAACTGCCATTTTAGAATTTCAGGTCTTGCAGGTCTTGCTGTCCGGGGAAAGACTGCATTCCAGAGATAGTTTCAGTAATTGGAGCTGCAGGCTGGAGCTGCATCTTGGCCTGGCCAGTCAGCTTAGAATGATAGCCGGGCAAAGTTGGAGAACACATCCTTGTAGCCAATGAGTAACTGCCAGCATAATTTAACCTTATTAAAAGACCCCTGCTTCCTTTGTTCCAGGCTCTCGGCATCTGCCACTGCCTTGGTAGGTGCCATGAGCCCGGACTCGAGTCTGAAATAAACTCCCTTTTGTATTTGCATCATCCATCTTTGGATTCTTGGAGGCTATGCTCGCCGAGTCTGCTGATCTTGGGCACAACAATATTCAGTTCTATCTACCATTTCATGATGCATATATCCTATCCCTAATCCCAGATAAGGACCAAGGCTTTGTTGAAATTGTTTAGAGTCAAGAAACAGAAAGAACCTGTCCATAATTATTTCTCATAGCCATAGATTATTTTTGTTAGTCCTTCCCAAATGATAGTTTTCCAAGATCTGCTAGACTTTATCTTTTGCATGCAATACCACACTAGCAGATGTATGTTACTTTGAAATACTTGGGGAATCCAAGAAAAGCTACTTAGAAATATGCTGCTTTTGCTCTTTCTTTATGTGACTATCTTGCTTTAGTTAAGTTTTTGCAAAATAAATCAGGCATTGGGATATGTGTGTGTTCATGTAGAGAAGACAGTGTCTCTTCCCTTAAATGCACAGCCAACCTGAAATGACACACTTCCATAACTAAAATGTCCATAACATAATTATCCTCTCTATTTTGGTTTTTTATCTTCCTTAATTATACTGCTCTCTCCTCCTAGAATGCACATATTCGCCTCTTCCTTCCCTCTCTTCCCATAGAAGCTTCCAAAACCTCATCCCACAGTACAAAAAGGGATCAAGCAGAGACTCAGTAGGTATCCATAATAGTACTTACTGCTGTGTCATATATGTTTCTTCTTGTTGTGTGCCAATCAAGAATCAGATGATTTTTAAATATTTATATCTTCAGGTCCAAGTATGTTTTTCTTAAGGATGTCCATATGCGTTTATTTAGAAATAGAATTTCACATCACATAAAAATAGGCCTAAGACACTAAAGAACTATCTGTCCTGAAAGTCCTGCCTTCTTTTCCCTCCCACATATTCACTTATTATACTGATTAATCTGGAAATGTTATTTGGAAACTGTTTTTTAAAAATTCTTTAAAGGTCAAACTAGTAAACCAGAAAATGAAAGCAATAATTGAAAAATAAATTTTCTTTTTGTGTCCATTTTGAGAAGCCCCACTTATAGGATGGTTTCTCCAAGGTGAGAAGTAAAACTAGTCTACTTACTTGCTCTTCTGACTCCCTCCAGTCCTACACCAAAGATCCAATGCTCTGTCCCTTCAAAGTCAAAGGGTATTTATCCCAGCAGAAAATTTTTCCAAAAACACCTGTAATTGTAAAAATTGTAAAATTGCCTTCCTTTTCAGGGGCAACACTCTCCTTCCTAATATAGCTATCATTCTCTAGCTACATAGCTTAACACAAATCAGTCAATAGCACCAACTAAATTTTTCTGTTGTGAAATTTAATGGCTTTTAAATTCAAATTCTTCTGTTCCATTTTCTCAAGTCTCAGTAAACTGCTTACTTATTTCCCCAGATTTTTCACAAAATAGTGTGTCGGCCTATACTATATTCTGAGCTGGGTGTTCTATCCAGGTGATGACAGGCAAATTGGTCTCTCCAGAAGATCAACAGTTGGAAAGACGGCAGAATAAATGTTACCTTTCCTCCCCCACCCCATGAGGACTACACTAAACTACACATATTTTAGCAGTACAGATTTTGATGTATTGAAATAAAACAAAAACACATTATTTCAAACTTAGAGTAAGTTAGGCCTTTTATATACCACTATTCTCTCAGCAATTCTGCCCATGAACCTAGGTCACGATCCTATCTCTAACCCTTTATCAACTGGATGACATTAAGCAATTTGCTGAGATTCTTTGGCCTCTTTCCTCAAACTCTAAAATGAGAGTAAGAGGTACCGGAGTTAGGTTTTCAAGACAGTACCGTGGAAAAGAGGCCCAAGTCACAATTACCTTTGAATATCACTTTTACCCAAATGTATAGTGTATTGTCTTTAGAGTACACAACACTATCCAGTAAATCTTATGGGCACTAACTTTTGATGAAACACTAAAACAAATTAAAAAAAAAAAAACTATGTATATGTGTTTCTAGGCACTAAAGTTATTCTGGTATTGCTAATTCTACAATCACTAACAGTGAATGGGGTATGGTTGGAGAACACAAGATGAATAAATGTTAATGTCCTTCTGCTCCTCAGCTTTCCAGGGAATCTCCCGGAACTTGTTTAATGTGGTTGTGCCTGAGACTTAGGTTGATAATATTTCTCCAGCAAGGACTTTGAGGGAAGAGACTCTAACATTTCGGGGTGCTCACGCTGGCAGTGGCAATTAAAAGTGTTTGACTAAACATGAGGACCAATTATTATTTACCTTAGAAAAGGGCTCGGGCTATTTCAATGCAATAAATGACATCACGAAAGTTTAACTAGCAAACGCCTCGCACGCTTTACTACCTCGGCGCCCCGTTATCTTTTAGTTCCGGAAGCACTTGGCCCACTCCTCTCGGCTCCCGTAGTCTCTCCCCTTATCGCGAGATCCGGCCGCGGGGGGCGGCGCCGGAACACTTCCGGGAGGCGAGTATGTAAGAGCGGGCGTCTGGGGCTGTGCTTCCGGCTGCTCCCTCGGCCCCACACATCTGGGGCTGGAGTCTGAGCTGGGGAAGAGGCGCTAGCACCCCGCTGGCCTTTGGGCCCAGAAATCGCTGACCATGGATCGGGATCTTCTCCGGCAGTCATTGAATTACCACGGGCCGTCCTTGCTCTCCCTGCTCCGGAGCGAACAGCAGGACAATCCGCACTTCCGGAGCCTCTTGGGGTCGGCGGGGTCGGCGGAGCCAGCCCGGGGCCCGCCGCTCCAGCAGCAGTTTCAGGGCAGGTAATGGCTTGGGGGACCCGGCTGCCAGACGTGGGGGGGTTCCGGTGGGGGGACTCAGCTCAGGGCTCCGCTACCGCGGCGGGGCCTCGGCAGGGAGCGCGTGAGGTCTGCGGCGCTGCTGCACACGGCAGGGTGCGGGAGGATTCGGCGTCGGGGTGTGGGGCGATGCAGGCGAAACTTTTTCTGTCTTACTGCCTTGCAGAGGTACGGGTTGCTTAGCTCAAATCCATAGGCTTTAGTGTTGGGGACCGCGGGTGTCACTTTTTTGAGTCCTCCCGACCTCCTTCTAAGGGCTACCTGAGGATGGAATCTCTAGTTAAAACTTGCTAAAGGTGATGCCCGGGGGCTTGGAATGGACCCGAGTGAGCCAGTAACGCCGTGAGCTGAAGGCTTTGCAGATAAACCAGTTGTCATACATTTTGTTTCTTTTTAAGGAAAGAGAAGAGAGTTGACAACACTGAAATACAAAAATTCATTTCCAAAAAAGCTGATCTGCTTTTTGCACTTTCCTGGAAATCAGATGCACCTGCAACTTACGAAGTGAGTGAAGACAGTGAAGGTTAGTCTCGATATGTTTCTATTGTGGTTTGGCTTAACAACGCTTAAGTTGAAGCAAAACTATTGTTTAGTAATTTTGGTAATTTTTTTTTTTTTTTTCAGATCATTATGCTATCATGCCACCTTTAGAGCAGTTCATGGAGATACCGAGTATGGATAGGAGGGAGCTGTTTTTCCGAGATATTGAGCGTGGTGATATAGTGATTGGAAGAATTAGTTCCATTCGAGAATTTGGATTTTTCATGGTGTTGATTTGTTTAGGTAGTGGCATCATGAGAGATATATCACACTTAGAAATCACAGTAAGTTACTCACTTTTCAGTTATTTGCTTCCATTTCTAAGGGTCATCCCAATACGAAAAATTGTGTCCTTGTATCATTTGTGCTTATTGTGCACTATGCTGAGATAGTTTTGAAATAAATTTTAATTGGAATAAAATTAAGTATTTTTCCTTCTTTAACAAAGTAGTGGTGGAAGAGTTACTTGCACAATGTGCTCCTATTGATACATTACTTACTGGGTTTGGTTAGCAGGGATGGGGTCCTTTTTCAAATGCTCAGATATCTGAATATGGTGAGATTAATTGGTACTCTGGGGTTACTTCATATAACTGAGCATGTTCCTAATTACAGTATTTGGCATTAATACTTGAATGTGGCTAATTTAGAAATAAATTTCTGTTCTTTTTTTATATATACACACACACACACACATATATACACACACACAATAACTAAACTTACCTGATCTGTACAGTATAAGAAACTTTACTCAGGGTGAATAATCCTAAATTTGAAATAATGTCACTTTAAAAAGGTTAGATATTTGTTGTCTCTCAGGGCAGATGAAAAGGGAATAAAAGCCAGAGGTATTGTGGACTGGATAACACAAATTTTGGAAAATTCATATTTCATTTTAATTGGACTTCTCATTTTCTGAACGGATTTTACTTTCATTTTTCAAAGTATAAACTATAATCCACACTTATATTAGGTTACTAAAACTAATTGCAAGTTTCATGAGATTTTAGTTTTTCAACTGAACCAGAATACTTGTTTTATTGTTTCAGGGCACAGAAATTAATTGAAGTCCTTAATTAATCTTAGACTTTAGTATGCTAGTTGTTTTTTTTTATGTTCCTGTGACCTATTAGCTGTTGATACTAAACTATAATAAAAGACGGTTCTCACAAAAGAATGGAGTGTGTAGTGTTGTAAATGCTTCTCGTTGCAGGCTCTCTGTCCAATAAGAGATGTGCCTTCTCACAGTAACCATGGGGATCCTTTATCATATTACCAAACTGGTGACATCATTCGAGGTGATCGGTTTCATCATACTTACAAAAAAATAACAGTTGCCAGATTTTTGTTTTTTATAAATTTTGAAAATGTAGTCTAATGAGAAAGTTTTATGTTTTTGTTAGTTTGCATTTTCTTGTTAATCAGTCTAGTTTTCTTATTTTTTTAAGCTGGAATCAAGGATATTGACAGATACCATGAAAAGCTTGTAGTATCTCTATATAGTTCCTCTCTTCCACCACACCTGTCTGCTATTAAATTAGGTGTAATTAGTTCTGAAGAACTTCCACTGTACTACAGGTAATTTATCCACATTATTTCAGCAATAATTAATTGTAAGTTTCTTAACTAAAATTAACAATTTTTATCCAACTTCTGGCACCAAAGTAGAATTTGAGTTTCTCTTCAAAATATTTTAATTACCCCAACTGTCTTCAACTTGGTAAAATGAACCAAATCATATATTGCCATAACTTCATGTACAAAAACAGTATGAGTATTTAAACCCCATGTGATAATATTAGTTCTTTAATAGAAGTGGAATATTCTGATTGTCATTTTTATATTTTTGTTGTGTTTTTGTTTTTTAAGGAGGAGTGTTGAACTTAGTAGCAATTCTTTGGAATCCTATGAAAATATCATGCAGAGTTCTTTGGGATTTGTTAATCCAGGAGTAGTTGAATTCCTTCTGGGAAAACTAGGAATAGATGACTCTAACCCTCCATCTTTAATGAGAGGCCTACAAAGGTATAGTAAATCACTATTACTCTTATTAGGTGATGAGGTGAATGGTGCTGAGCAAAAACTGCATAACTGAGGTACATATTTCACCATGCTACCCTGGCGACAGCAATATGCCAAAGACTGAATGAAGCAGAGGAGCCCATGTCCTTCTGAAATAGACTCTCTTGTTAGTGTTAGATGTACACCATGTGACCAATTAGAGAAAGATGCAGAAAATTTAAGAATTTTGTGTATGTGTAAAAGACAAAATGATGCTTAACAGTAGTCAGTTTTGCTATGCAAGTGTCATACAAGTTTCTTGCTTGAGATTCACTTTTTCAACATTGAGTTTTAACTGTCAAGCAAAGTGAAGTATAGTTACAAAAACCGTAGGTATAGTTATAAAACCTGTATTTATAGTTACGGTTTGACTTTTTTTTCTTTAACAGCAAAAACTTCTCTGAGGATGATTTTGCTTCTGCATTAAGAAAGAAACAGAGTGCATCTTGGGCTTTAAAATGGTATGAAGACTTTGTTGCTCAACAATTGCATTACCTAGTTTAAAAGATTAAAGTAAGGCATGTATTATTAAGAACAAATATTTTAAAGTAAATTAAAATGATCCCTCTCTGACATTAGTTTTTTTTATAGTTATAAATGGTCTTAAGCTGTAAACTTGACAAACTTAAATTTTAGCCAACATTTTCAGTGTTTTTCAAAAGAAATTATATTGATATCTGGATTTCATAAATACTTGTTATAAAACTATCCAAAGACATAGTGTTTCTTAGATATATTGACGGTACTGGAGACTACACATTGACCATATTTGATTTGCTTTTACAATTTATCCATGTTAATATTTTATTTAGATTTTTGATGAAATGTTTGTAATTCTTTATTAATGTCTTCAGTGTGAAGATTGGAGTCGATTATTTTAAAGTTGGACGCCATGTCGATGCTATGAATGAATACAATAAGGCACTGGAAATAGACAAAGAAAATGTGGAAGCTTTGGTAGCTCGTGGAGCATTGTAAGTAGGTCATGGGTTTTAAAGAATATTTGCAAGGTAAATATATACAAGATTTACAAGTAATTCATATTTTAAATTCCTTTAACTTTGTCATTATCTTTAGATATGCAACAAAAGGAAGTCTGAACAAAGCAATAGAAGATTTTGAGCTTGCACTGGAAAACTGTCCAACTCACAGGAATGCAAGAAAATACCTCTGCCAAACACTTGTAGAACGAGGAGGCCAGTAAGTATCAGATTTTATTTAATGGTGGATATATCTTACCTTCAATCATCCTCCATAAAATCTTAAACTTAATGTCTTTAGTTAATTATTTTAAAAAATCTTGTTACAATGAAATAGAAATAGAAAGATATAAGAAATTAGTAGATAAGTATTTTTTCCTTGAATAGCTAGAAGATTTTGTTTTAATAGAAGGGAATTGAATGTCTGATTCATTTAATCATTTCAGTAGCTTACTGCCAGAAATATGAAAATGAGAGTTTTATCATTCATTATAATATTTTGCTATTTGGCTTGTTGGTCTATCCTACTGAGTAAAAATGCACATATTCAGATTAAAAGGAAGAGCAAATCATTAAGAATAAAACCTGTAATTTATGTTACTATCCTGTAATGCTGGCATATTACCTGGTACAGTAGTTATTTAACGCAAAAGCTAATTTATAAGATATGTTGAAGAAACAGTACTTCAAATATAATTTGGTAACCACCTGCTTTAGTAATTAAAAACCAGTTTATACTTAATAGCATCTTTTGTGCTCTTTTTTAATGTGGATTAATGTGGATTCATCTCTTTTGTAGTTTTTTTTTTTTTTTTTAAAGATTTATTTATTTTTATTATTTATACAAGCACTGGGCACAGTCAGAAGCACGGGAGGGTGAGAGAATTCACCAGAGCCAGAGCGGGGAGCAGAGCAGGCAGAAGGACCGAAGTACACTGCTGAGGGGAGCAGCGGACGGCAGGAGAGGTCTGCGTGCCATGTGGGACCCTCCTCTGGTGGCCGGGG